CAAAGTGCACCTATAATTAGTTACAAGTTTAGGTACTTCGCCAACATACCCTGACCAGCGTGGTGAAGTTGTGGTCAAACAAAACTCATGACCCGCACAGTGGTAGAGAGAGCCTCGCCCCAACAGTGAATTTTCCGTTGGTCCCACTTGCTCCCCTCTTCCTACCCCTTGTACCCCCCCAGGAATGTCGGATGCCGACATAATGGAGCTGAACCTGCCAACTGGCATTCCCATCGTTTACGAGCTGGACGCCAACCTCAAGCCCACCGGTCCTCGCCAGTTCCTGGGGGACGAGGAGACCGTCAAGGCAGCCATGGCGGCCGTGGCGGCCCAGGGCAAGGCCAAGTGAGCGGCGCCCACCCACGCCGAGGGCCCTGCCGCTGGATCGCCGCACGCGGGCGCACGCAGGCACACGTGGGAGAGAAAGGCGGCGGGCACGTTGCTCACCCTGGTGGGATGTGAAGCATGAAGTCAAAGCTAGGGGCTTGGGGAGGGAGAGGGCCAGGCATTAGCGGAGATACTTTTTCACGTCAGTGGTGCACCCAAGGAGCAAAATATAGGAGCAGGATGCAAATGGATTCAGAATTAGTTTGCATGCATATGATCTAAGATTGAATAATGCAATTTAAAATGTCTAATATAAAATATACATTAAGAGTTATTTAGAATTTTACATTTATGAAAAATCTAAGAAAATTTCACTGACCTCGAAGGGCAGATTGAACATTTTGGGGCAGTGGGGGGAAATCTGCTCCTTTTGCCCCCCCAACCCTGGGTGTGCCTCTGGTTGGCGTGACCCGCCATCTCATAACGCGTGTGTTTTTGTGTCGTAGTCCTCTTGCACCTGGACCCGTTCCTTTCAGGCATTGCACCCTCGTGGTACAATTACACGTGTAAAAAAAGTAAAACAAAAAATACAAGCGCAAGTGACACGCTAGTTCAAGCGCACTGTATCGGTAACGTTCAAAGTGTCGGTGCGTAAACGTGACCTGGTTTTCGGACGCAATTCACACCTGTCGAAGATTTGGTTCGAAGTCGATGTGAAGTGCAAATGATACTCGTTTACGAGTCTGTCGTAGTTCAGTCAGATTAATGTTGGTATATAAAGGGAAAGCACGGGGAACCATTTCCTTTACTCATTTCACTAAACCATTGTCTGCAATGGTTGCTAGCTTAAGTTTTACACTGTCGGTCTGGTCGTTTTACTTTCGTATTTATGTGTCCTGAAGTCGCTAAATGCTTGTAGTGCTTCAAATGCAATCCTAAATTAAAAAGAGTATGTTGAATGTTGCTGTCCAAGTGAGTGGTCTGTGTCAATGTTCCGTTTTTATTGTAAAACACTTTTTTTTACACCAATATAGCAAAATTGGAATATGGCAATCCATGTCATTTTTTAGAAAGTTCAATGCATTTTTTTTCTACAGTACAGAATATAATACTTTTGGAATGAGTAGTGGTGAAGTGGTTTGTGCACTGTACTCTGAACCTAGGAACCTGAATTCAATCCCCAGCTTGGTGATGAGTGATATTAGAATCGGTCTTGGACATCTGCCCCTCTTCCTCCGCCACTTCACCAAACCAATGTCCTTTGCCAGCATTTTGGTGAATAATTTGCCTTGCAACAAATTGCAAGTGGAATTAGTTTATTTTGTATTCATTACCGTGAGTTAATAGTAAGTTACTGTAAAACAAAAAATAACTCCCTTGACCAGTGGTGAAAAACTGATTCCATGTCAAGAAGTTAATCTATTGCAATGAAATGAATGTCCACCGAGGTTAATCACTGCAGCCCTAGTTAGTCATATACTATCGTGTTTATTTTTTTATCAACTTATCTCAATAATAATAGTTCACATTCTAATACTCGAGTACTCTCCATGCAAACATTACATTTCTTATACAATTCTGGAAACAATATGGACCACCGACTCATGGTTCAATCACAAGGCCAGGCCAAGTCCATTGGCAGATGAAAGATCGATTAATAAAATGGACGTGACCTTTTAAAATGGCGTAGGGATGTACTTTAAAAGTTTACATGAAATTAATAAAAAGCTACGTTTTAATCTCAGTGACGCCATTGTTAATGGTGAGCAATCGCTGCTGTAATCCGGTCCTGTCTATGACAAGGGTTGGAGAATCGTGCAGTTGTGTGAAACGTTATTGGGCGTTAAGGGGGGCATTTGATGGTAGCGCAGCAAGTGGGATCCCGAACCTGTTTGTGCATACCTTCGAATGTTATTCTCTTGTGCGTGCTACTCTGAATTAATCCCACAATGATAGATCCCAACACAGGAGCCGCCTGAAAAAAATACTGTATTGAAACTCAGGCTTGCTTACAAAAATCCGAGTGGGTTTCATGTGGTGTCATTGACAGGTGTGGGTGAGAAAGTCTGACCACGACATTTGGGATGAATGATTTAGGGAGGTCAAAGAGGAGGAGAGTGGCAATAGCCAAGATGTGACGAAGGCATGGACAAGGGTCTCAACAGCTGAGGGAAGGAAATGGTGGATGCGGTTAGGGTTAGGAAGATGTGCATATGTCGATATAAAGTCCTGCACCAATGGCAATTCCGAGTTTTCGCACAAATATGTTGCACACTCGAAATGAAGGACGTGGGCCGGTGCTCCAAATTGTGACTTTACCGAAAGAACCAAGAATATACATTTATTGTGGTTAATCTGTAAAATGCACCAGCACGTTATGTCACACACATCAATCTTCAACCGAGTCGCCTTTAACCATGTGACTGGCGTACAAGTGCGGTTAATCAATAACCCTGTCGGCCTAACTCGGGTATCGCATGCTGATGTACACACATGCATTGATGTACTGTACAGCACATAAGGACTTTCACAAAACCATACTTTACTCCCTTGCTGCACGAGGAAATTATTAAAGAGTGGTCCATTCCTCATGTGCCACATATGACTCGTCAGAGTTTAGTAGGTGCACGCTCTAATTTGAGTATTTAGAATTGTTTAAGTTTTGGCAACGTTTAGAACCAAGAGAGGACGGACATCAAGGTAGGGTTCAGTAAATTGCGATGTAATGCTGAGTGTCATCAGCATAAAGGTTCCGCTTATTTTACCCGGGGTCATGCCAAGTATTTTTTTTGCAGTCAGGGGCAATGATACAGTACGATGTATTACCCCGATTAATTTGCAGGCAACGTTTCACATTTGGCCCATGACGCCAACACACAATGGCCTAATGCTTGTGAATGACGTCACGGGATCTGTGACGTTCACTGTGACGTGGACGGCACGTGGTGCCGCGGCATGGTGAATACACGTGCAGTGTTGACCAGAATGTAGTTGCTGGAATCGAACCGTGACCCTCTGCATCCAAGCAACGAGCACACAACCGCTGGGCCACGAGGCGGGAGCGAGGAGATACGTTTAACAGCGCCAGGACCACACTCCGTGTTTTTTTATGGAAGCACCGAAGAAGCGGTTTGATATGGAGGAGAGGAACCATTCTATTGGCTATGGGGCCGTCCATAAATGACGTCACGCGATTGTGGCCGGTTTTTGACCCCACCTCAAATATGACGTCACAAAGCTCTGCCCCACCTCCCCAAAACCATAATTCCATTTTGAAAATAAAACATGCTTCAAATCACTTTAAACTATTGTCATTGTAGTGCGTATTCAATGTGGCGCTGCACTCTGATGTTGTCGGAGAAACACGTATGAAAAAGGAGCCGTTGGAAAGTTGAAATTTAGCATAAAATTCACTTGAAAATATTCAACGTCTAACTAAAACTGCAGATGTTCAGAATAGTATATTGAAATTCTCTTATAATTATTAAATATTAAAGTCATTATAACTATAAAAAAATACTTGAAACGTTGTCGTAGAACGAAGCAAAATGGAGTGTACAATTATAACAATCACATATTCATTCCACATAATGAAAAGCCCTGGTAGAATTATTACAATAAAAATGTTTAATAACAATCATTAAAATGTTTTACAAAATGTATGCTTCTCCATTTTCCCATGGAGAAGCAAAATGCTCCTTCATGGAATAAATAAAAGGTGACCTTAGTCAATTTAAATAATACAATAGTTAATAATAAAAAATAATCAAAATTAGTGTTGTTATAACAATTCTATTTATATATTTATTTGAAATTGCGCATGTTTGATGTGACGTCACAATTCTAAACCCCCCCCCTCCCCCCCTCGTCACACATCGTCACAAATGTCTGACCCCCCTTCCCCCCTTAGGTGTGTGACGTCATTTATGGACGGCCCCGATTATGATTTTCTTAGATTCAGTTCGATTCACGTGTTCGCAATTAATGCATGCAATCGTGTGAGAACCTATCATTGTCAATTAATTTAACGTTTACTCAACGTTTACCCTTTTGGCTAATGTTTGAAACGGACAAGACAGTCGGTAAAGACTTAGGCCAGGGGATCGGCAACCTGCGGCTCTTTAAGGACCGCTTCGTGACGTTATGCATTAAGGAACCACCGTTTTGTATTCACCATCACATTTAAAATATTAAGGGATTTTTTTTTAAAACAAGATCATTTGAAAAAAAAAATATCTGGTTCTTTTTTTTTTGCCGACCCCCTGACTCTGGCTGTACAGGTACAAAACAAAGGTAAACACGACAACATCGATTTTCACTAATCGAATGGTTAAATCGTTGAATATTTAAATCGTTCACGCGGGGGGAGGGGAGTCGATTGTGGGGGCGGGGCCACGTGGCCGCGGAACGCGCCACTTCCGGTTTCAAGACGTCCCAACCGGAAAATTGACCGCTCCCCCCTTTTTATTTCATAGAGCGCATAGACATCGCCCCCCCCCCGCCCTGCCTGGGCGCGCGCTCATTGGTCACACCCCTCCCTCCCACCACCCTCTTTAATCGAGTGGACCAATCGGAGGCGGCCATGGTGCCGGCGTGGGCGCGCATCTGGTGTAGGAATTCCGAAGCCACGCCTTCCCCTCCCTGACAGGGCCCCCCCCCCGCGTGCACTTCGCGAGGTGCGGTGTTGGTGGGAGGGTCGCCGTGGTGCTGACGCTCGCTGCTGCTGCTGTTTGCTGCCCCAATTCTCATTGATTACAAATCAGAGACGCGCCCCGCGCACCCACAAGCATTGTTGTGGCCCGCGCCTACAGCAGCAGCAGCAACCTCACCGGCCTGGGATTGTGTTCATTTTCGTGTCGCCGTAAGCGCCGGCCGCTCATGCCGCTGTAAAGGGGTTCCTGTGGATCAGGGCCCAGACCGGATACAACCGGGACCTGGGTCCCCGTGTCCTAGTGACGGTCTCGGGACTAGCATCTAGGTCAGGTTCCTATTCCCAGATCCTGTTCACAGGCTATGGTCCCACGCTCTGGTTCCTGGTGTCAAGCTCCCGAGACCCAAGTTGCAGGAAATCTGATTTTTTTTTTGGTCTCGAGTTCTGTTGCTGGACTCACCACCTGGTTCAAATCCTGGTTGTGGTCCCGGGACCCAGCCGGGACACCGAGCCTGAAGCAAAATCCCCGACAAGAACCTCGATCCCTCCCTGATCCCACAACCCCTGCCGCTCCAGCCGCCTGGAGGAGGAGTTTTGAGTGCGTCGCGCTGAAGACGCTGCCGCTGCTGCTGCTGGAACGACAGGGTGGGTGGGCTACAAGGGGTTGCAGGTTCCTGCTGGGTTCTTCTATGCTACAGACCACGGCTTGAATAATTACAACCCTAGGGTTTAATTTCACCAGGAAGGGGGTTTAGAGTTCTGTGGTCCAGGTTAGAGGGTGCAAAGTAGGACACGGCTACTGCTCCGGAGATTTTTGTAAAATACCATCACAGACCGGATTTAAGATCAATCACGGACATACCTTGGGTTTCTGACGATGAAACATTATTGGATGTGGCCTCTTCAGTTACACGTATGGGGTAAGAGGTTACGAGTTGCGGTTATGTTTAGGGGTTAACGGTTAAGGGATTAGAGGTTGAATGTTTAGGATTCTAGTGGGCTAGGGAGAGTAGTGCTGGGCTGTACCGAGTCACTGCTTTTCTTGCCATGAATCTGCGGTGGCAGTAGTCTTGGGTTACAGGTTGTTGATAATCCAGGGTAGTCCGGTTTAATGGTTGTTACGTTCTTACGGTTCAGTGGACCCAACTTTCAAAGGAGGTTCGATAGGACACGGGCTCCAGTCTAGTTGGATTCCAGTGAAGTGAGTTCCAGAAATTGAACGTTTCAAGGTGATGGGTTTCGAGATTCAACGCCCAGAATGGTGATTCCATTGTCGTTTTTCAGGCGCATACAGACCCAGTCGTAATTGCTCACGCGAAACTGATGTCTCTTTTTTTAAACTACTGCCTCACCAGTGTTCGTGTGGAAGTCGGGGTCACACCGGAGACTCTCTGACCCCTAGAGCCGGGGCCTGTTTACCCCTGTGTCTGCCTGTGTGGGTCGCGGGGGCCTTCAGTGTGCGGGCACAGAACTTTCAATCCTATGTCACAGAACTTTGTCAAGCCACTGGTGGATGGTGGGGAGGGCCTCGTCACTCCGTGCCGGCCGTCGGGGTTATTTGACCATAATTCACTACCGCTGGTGTTTGCTTTGGTTGGTGAATGGGTAGCAGTGGCAGCACAGCAGAACGATGTGTTTATATTATTACACGCTTTTATTTCACTCCGTCTGTTGTTGTATCCTCAAATCTTGTAACTCAATTTTTACCCACTTCCCAATGTGGTATCGACTGCAAACTTGGTATACTTATGTCATACTGATAACAATACTATATTCTATCATAAAAAATAAAACATATTTTTAAACATTATTTTTTAGATGTTATTTTCGGCTTGGGTCTAATTGTCCACGGTCCCTTACGTTATGGCAAGTTTCGGGGCCATACTCTTTGGTTCTTTCGGTAAAAAGATAAAATAAAATAGTACGGTACATTTCATTAAAGCGTGTTTTTTAAAATTATTACTTATTACTTCACTGCCCACTGCTGCCCAATAACGTAGCCCCGCACATGGTAATAAGGATACGTGAAATCATTATTCTGGACCCATGGAGTATTCCGCCTAATCGCGTGGCTGGATTAAACTATTAAACATGCGAGCGAGGCGACCACGCTGAGTCAAGGATAGAGATTGCCTGATATTGGACACAAAACTGCTTCCAATAGGGCCTATTAGCGACACTCGCCCCTCGAGATGTGGAACCCACCGGCGTGAACTGTTAGGTCGCCTTGATCCCATCGCCTGTGGGTGTTTGAGAGACACGGGATGATGCACGGTTTATAATCGCCCTTAATCCCATCCGCTCATATGAACGGGAGGTGCAGATAGAGGACTTGTCCAAAGAGACCTATCCAAACTAGATTCGAAGCTTTCGTGACTGCAGGAATTACTCTTTGGTTCTTTCGGTAAAGTCACGTCGAAAGAAATAAAATAAAATAATAAAATACTAGAGACCTATCCAGATGTCAGATCCCATCTGTGGCTTTGCTTTTATTCCAAGTCGTTTTTCTGATAACTTTGTTTGGATAAAATAAAATTAGGCAGTGCAGCCTTAACCATTGTTGTACTGTGTATACTCCCAAATCTATGCTCCCTGCCTTCAACCTGCACTCACCAGATGTGTGAAGTATAGTAAAATAACATCTTGAATAACCGAAATGTGCAAAGGAGCCCCTTATCCAGGAGTGGCTTGACCAAGTGCAGGAAATGTCACGAGACAGAAAAGTGTGACAAGTGCAATGCACGTGGGCATGATTCGCATTACACATTTTTATGTCGCGCGAATCTCGAAAATAGGCTAAACCTGAACGTAATTTGGACGCTTGAATTCACAAAGACAAACCATTGAGTTTTTAATGGAAGTGCGTTTTTGCACATAAAAAAGCAACCGTGTAATTTGTCTCAAATTGCACGTGACAACTACATTTTCACGTATATAATTAAAAACAAAGTCCATATGCAGCCCTTGGTCACTTTGATCCTATTGCTTTGCGTGCTTGAAAAGTAAAGGTGGATGCATTGGCGATCATCGCTCTTAATCCCATCCGCTGGGGTGCCTGTGCGGCCCAGATAAATGCGCGGATTAATTAATTATCCAACCCGCCTGCTCGTGCCCTGCTCCCTCACCGAAGCTTTTGTGATGGATTCACAGTCATCGGCTCAAAGAGAGACGTGCACTTTTGGGATTAATTGACAAGAGAACATTATTTTTTTGTTCGTCTGCAACCTTATTGATGGCAAGAATGACAGCATGGGGTGGAGGGTGGAGTCTCCGTCTCGGGCACCACCACACGCGTGTGGATGGTTATCAGGCCACGCTCATCATTCATAATTAATTAATCTGTCCACGTTGTCCCCACAATGCAGCGTCTCTACTTTAGACACGTGGCTGTGCGCCACTCACAGCAGTTGAGCTTTGCACAGTCGAGGCACCTGCCGTCAACTGTTTACACGAGACAGATTTGTGGTTGTTCATTGACCAGTCGCCTCTTTAAGGACAAGTTGCGGATTTCTCACCGGGTAAATTTTTCCTTTGTAAGTCTGTGTACGCGACGTACGCTCACGTGATGCTGACAGGTGTTTTTTTTGCCTTATTTTAGTTGTGTACGGCGCGGCAAGAGTAACAGTGATAGCGTCACAAGAAGCAGCAGCAATAGCATCCATTGCAGCACAAGCAGTGGCCGCATTAACAGCGGCAAGCTTCTGTGACGGCGGCGGCAGCAGCGGTATCAGCAGCAGCATTAACAGTAATAGCAACAGCAGCAACTGTATTAACAGTAACGGCACTGCAGTAGTAACAGTAGCAGCATTAACAGAAAGAGCAGCATTCAGCATTAACAGCAGAAGCAGCAGTAGTGTTAGGAGCAAGTGCAAGAGCATCAGCTCAGAGTAAAGCTCCTCTCGTTATCCGCGTGCCCAGGTGAACCTACCACTACTCTGTTGCTGCTCCACAGGACTGTACCTGGCAACCACGCCAGGCTGGACCTGGACCCGGTGGCTACTCCGTCGGGATGCGCGCCGTGGCACAGACGGCCCGCGGATTGGGCCGCTTGTGTGCGGGCAGCTGCGGCAGAAGCCGAGGTCGCGGCCTCGGGAAGACGTGGGCGTACACGTGCCTGGCATTGAAGAGCCTTGTGTACAACTCGTTCTCCAGCTACGACACGATGGTGGACGCACTGTTCGAGCCGCTCTTCTGGCTCGTCGACCGCCTGACGCGATGGTTTGGCCTGGTCCGTACGTGTGGGGCGAGAGCACGTGTTGAGGTTGCGGGGGAGGCGAGGGCATGGTGGGGACGTGTCGCCATAACTGTCGCCTCCAGGAATATTCATTGATCGATCCCATCCATTGATCGGAATTAGTATCGTGATAATAATGCAGTCACCTATGATCTATATCAGCCGGAATGCATCCGATGTCGTCAGACCTCGGAAGCTCAGCGGAGTTGATCCTGGAATAGTATTTTAATGCGGACTACCATGCGTAACAGTGCCAAGTGGTACCGAAATATAAAACCTGTCTTCGGCCTTCCCCAGTTGATTTAGCCATAAGTAGTTACCTGGTGCAGTGTGTTAACATCAACAGCTGGGCATGGGACTGGCTACCCCACCCTCTCATACACCATGCTGACCTTAACTGGTGCTCGCTAACAGCACTTTCCTGCAACAATCTCTTAAAGGCTTTGCACAGGGGATCTTCATGTTCATATGCGTTTTTGGTGGTTGTGTGCTACGTCATTGTTTGTGTAGCTATGTCCTGCATTTGGCCTAAGAATGCACCTAGCCTGGCACAGGCACCGTGGTGATGTAGCCGACACTGTTAATGGGCTGTTGTTTTTGTATGCGAGTACGGTACGTTTGTGTGTATCAGTGCTCGCTAACAACACTTTCCCCAACAGTCGGTTAAAGGCTATCCGGTGGGATCTTTGTTCTTGCCTGTGTGTAGGTCTTTGTAGCGCTGGTGGTAGGGCTCACATCGTGCGTGGTGGTCGTGGGCTACGTGTGCGTGCTGCCCGCCATCCTGGCCGAGTATGGCCCAGCGGTGAGCACCGCTCTCATCCTCGTCTCCAACTGGTTCCTCATCATGATCGTCTTTCACTACTACAAGGGTCTCACAACATCGCCCGGGTACCCGCCGTCGGTAAGCCCATAACGAGCAAACAACATCACCCACCCCCTTGTGTGCCTTGCCGGCCAGTCTTCATACATGCTTGCTAACAGCACTTGCCCCAACAGTCTGTTAATGCTATATGGAGGATCATCATCAGCCATGCCTTTTAAATCTAGATTGAAAATGAATTTCTTTAGAATAGCTTTTTATGTTTAGTTGTCCTTCCCCCACACCTCTGATTCGCATGGTTGGCTCTACATATGTTGCGAAAGAAGTTCAACATAGATACAAGCCCTCCCTAAGCCGCCACTATCTCTCACGATTCTTGCGATGTAATAATATAATCGAACCACGACCTGCACCTGAGCTGATTTCAGCACTCCATCACCTTGGTGAACGATCAATTGGACACATTTCCTTTTCGTAAAATTTGTTGCAGACCAGCAAAGAGTCCTTCACAAGCGATAAAATTTGCATGCATAGTAGTGATGGGTCATACAGTGGCACGGTGCGATATGAACCCAGCGACCTGAGTTTGACTCTTGGCCACGGCTAACACCGGTGCCGAGTGATCTCTGAACCGCTCCTGTACACGGAGGCTTGGGAGCGGATGCTCCTTTACCAACTTGCACTAAATATTCAACATACACAACCATAACCTGTTCTCTTTTACTTGATAATGGCACTAAATAACCATAGCCATCGTCATTAACCTAATAACTGGCACTCCGCAATCGTAACTTTTTTTATAGTATAAATTTTGTTTGTCTCTTAACTGTGATTCTTAATTGTGTTATTGGTCGTCTTAATGCTACGTCAGAAACACTTAGCCTGTGCTGCTTTTTTGCCTGGGTGAAAAGTGCGCTATGTTTTGCGCAATCCTGGCCAACTGACTCACAAACTTAATAAACAAACAAACGTGGTAACCCAGTAATGCTCAGATTCCCCAGTGTACTGAACGTCTATAAAACTATTTTTTGTATTTAACCAGATAGGACCCACTGAGCTATAGAGCTCTTTTTCAAAAACGACCTGGTCACAAATGATAGCTCAAGGAAGTGGCTTATCGAGTGGAAATGTATAGCAGCCAAATGCCCGTTTCTAAATGTGGAGGGAAAACCGGAGGACCCGGAGAAAAATCCATGCAACCACGGGGAGAACATGCAAACTCTGAAGTATACAGGAATCAGGATTGGGATTGAACTCACGACCTCCTACATACCAGCCGAGGTAGTTAACATCTTGTCAGCCTGGCCCCCAAATCCATGAAACTGCTGCGGCCTAAAGGGGGGGGGGGGGGCAGTTCTCTGCGGCGTGCACGGCGAGGCGTGCGCGGGTGACGGCACTCGCTCATTGTGCCGGCTCGCAGGGCCAAGTGGACTTGCCGGCCGTGTCCATCTGCAAGCGGTGCATCGCTCCCAAGCCTCCACGTACGCACCACTGCAGCATCTGCAACAGGTGCGGTGGCCAGGGGTGGGGGCGCAGTGGGGACGGGAGGTGAGGGGGGGGGGAGCTTTATCGAGCTGCGGGCTGGGCAGGAGTGCGTGAACTTCTTGCCATTGTCCTGCACCAGATGGTGGGGATCCTGCGAGCCGCAGGCCATATGTGGACTGTGCCTTCATTTCATATGGCCCACGGTTAGAACAGCTTGAATAAATGACTCGCTGCAAATATCCTAGCTTGCGCTAATCTGGCAAGTCACTTGTGTCACTGGCTGGTCTCTCCATGTCCTGTGAATAAGGGCCATTGATCAAAATACCGCCTATTATTTTCTCTTTCAAGGCAGTGTCATTGTCATTTGTGCTTCTGCACCACTGACAAATTGAGGTGACTGATGTGCATTTTAACGTGACGCGTCTTTGTATTTCAAAGTCCGATTTGGCCCTCGGTTATTTTACATACGACCCATTTTCCTTTTTGTCTTGTGTTTAGACAAACGGCAGCATGTTCATTTGATCGTTTCCTCTCGATCACAGGTGCATTCTGAAGATGGATCATCACTGCCGTATCCTGACGTGTTCGCACTGGGGGCTCTGGATCCTTTGTGTTTATTTTATTCTGTAATCATCCATCAATTACACTGCAAGTGAAAAATAACAACCCAACCTCACAATTGTTCCTTGCATCATATTTCAGAACAATTGCAAATTCCACGATTGAGATGTTGCTTGTGATGCTAACAATCTCATTAAAGGATAATGAGAGTTTGAAGCGTATGTAACAAAAAAATCACGTGTCCATTACAGGAGAGGGGCAGGTGGTTAGGCGGCTCAGAGGTCAGGCCGCTTGGACTGGCAACGCTGAGGACGTGGGTTCGATTCCAGGCAGCCGCCTGCGATTAAACCCATTCCCCAAGTTTAGCGAGTTGACAGGCTTAGCCCAGCCACCCATGATTGTACAAATGAAAACATCACGATACATTTGGTTATGCACTTTCATATGGATGCATTCCATATTCGAAATATTAAATATCAGTTTTACTGGCATGTGCCAAACCTAAATGTCATATTTAAAGTGAGTGAGAAGTGCTGCCCGACACTGTGGACTAGAGGACACTTGAAGGGATCTCAGAAGCAGCTCTGTGATATCCACTTCCATGGGTCGTTCTCAAACACGAAGGGTCGCGCTGCTCTGCGAGAGATGGCACGACACCGATAGCACAATCGGGATGAAATATTTGGAAACAAAAACGCTATTAAAATGGGGCTGTCAACTTGGCGGAGAAGGTCTCCTTAACGGCCCCGTCTGCCAGCCTGGCTCAACAACTGCGTCGGAAACTACAACCACCGCTACTTCTTCTCCTTCTGCCTCTACATGTCCATGGGCTGTGCCTTCACAAGCATCACGCTCAGCCGCACGTACTTCCGCACACAAGCGTCCTCGCAGGTGGGTCGCTCGGCGGCTCCCCCTTCCACCCCCCCCCCCACCACTGCCATTACGCACCAACTCCCACAGCAGCAACAACAATAGCTCACCACCACCAATAACAATAAGCGGAAATCTGGTGCGTTGTGTTACGCGCCTGTGATGACGCACTTTCGAACCGAGGGTAGCCGGATTTCTTGTAGCGCTTCTGACCCGCCCCTACTGGACATTTGTGTTAAAGAGCTTCATGGCCCATCGGATTCCTCCAGGATAAAGAGATTCAGATTCTGGAACACACAGATTTGTGAAACTCCCAACAACCACCGGGAAATGATGGGGACCTTTGAATGGTATTCGCTTCTGTGTGGTCATTTCTCCGGGTACTGAAGTCACCTGTTAGCAAATCGCTCGCAATATGCCCTCGACCTCATTGTCAGGTCTTAGGCTGAGCATGGATGAGCCTGGCTCGCGCTTGGATGAGCAACCATAGAACAGGTGCCGTGAGCTGCTGCAGGAAAAATTGTCAGCTGGGGACAGTGCAGCAAAAACCCATTGTTGCACATTCCATTTCTGCGTCTGATCTGCTCCGCCGTTCGGCTTCACTGACCCGTACCGGCCGGCGTGAGTGAAAACCGATTTCTTTAAAACTGCTTTTTGCATTTAATTTGTTGTCCTTCCCTGCACCTCCGATTAGCACGGTTGGCTACGTACGGTGCGAAAGAAGTTCAACATGCATACATTCAAGTCAGATCGAACGACTCCTCACCCTACGTATCAGTCAGCAGGCTGTACGTGTGCACGTGTACACGACGTGGGGTGCCTGCTTGATTCCCCATCCCCCGATTTTTCCGGCAGGCTCGCTCCGAGCCACTCACCCCTCAAGCTTCTCACCCCGGCGTCCACCACGGCTGAGCCCGAGAAGCGCGAGGACCACTGTTCACAACAGCATCGTCTTCGTGTGGGTCCTCACCAGGTGGCCCACTCACACACGTCCCTTGTGTAGCCCGTAATGGTATGGTTTGGGCGAGTGCTGTTAACCCCTTTCCCATTTCTATGACGTGTACATCATCGGCTTTTTCTTCCGATTCCATTCTGATGACGTATATGCACATCAGCAAAACAAAACCGGAATAAAAACAAAAACCGGAATAAAATTACTTCATCAGGTACCGAGGCTCCCACAAGGCTGTGCGCGGCACAGTTTGGCGCCAGCTATTGTGGAGTGCGGTCGTGTCGCTGCAGTTCTCTGCGGTGAGTACAGTGCCTTTAAAAACAATGCCGCTATGCCTCTAAATAAAGTTTACGCCGAGCCGCTTGCACGTTCCGAGATTCAGAGGTGAACGGGACTCGCACCCTGCGACTTGCAGTCGTCTCTGAACGGCAAAGGGAGAAGTGAGCACCACCAGGGGCAAGCATGGCGCACGAGATGCGGTGGTGTGACCACCACCGCACCCGGCCGCCCTTGTCTCCCCATGTTCACGCGCACCGCACCAGGTACTAATTTCAGGCTGAATGAACCTAAAACTAAAATCGAAACTTTCAATTTTACCAGGTCAGGCCCACTGAGCTATACAGCTCTTTTTCAGAAGCAACCTGGTCCATCACAAATGATAGCTCAACAAAGCGGCTTCTCGTGTGGAAATTTATAGCAACCAAATACTCTAAATGCATGTTGATTCTAAATGTGGAGGGGAAAAACTGGAGGACCCTGAGAAGAATCCACACGACCGCGGGGAGAGAGACATGCAAACTCAATATACAGGCATCGTTCGGGATCGAACCCACGACCTCCTGTATACCGGGCGATGTAGTTAATATCTCGCTACCTCGGGTAGGTCTGGGATAGGTTTTGGAGTCGGCCGTGCTATGACTCGATCTCGGGTCGTTGTATTTGTAGCGCAGCATGCTAAATGCTTTTGCCGCCGCTGCGTCGATAGTAATCCTTGTCGTTTTTGCGAATCGCTGCGAGTGTTGTGTCCGCTGCTGTGCATTGCGTGGGGGTGGGGGCAGCACGGTGTCGGTGGTGCTGGGGGCGCTCACGCTGTGGCACGCGGCGCTCATCTCACGCGGGGAGACAAGCGTCGAGCGCCACATCAACCGCAAGGAGCGCACGCGCCTCCACAAGAAAGGGAAGGTGCGAGTCACAGAAATTAACCACCAGTACGCGTTTGACTGTGTGTACACATGCGCGAGTGAGCACATGAAACCCAGCGACCCGAGTTCGATTCCCACTCACTGGCCAACACCAGTGACGATTATCCGAACCAGTCCTGGGCCTCCAGTAGGTCGACTCAGCCTCATGCGGTGTGTAAACATCGCCACTCGGGAGACAAAGGCAGCCTGGTGTGGTGTTGGCCACCCATCCCTTAGTGTGCCATGTCAGCCTTCATTGGTGCTCGCTAACAGCACTTGCCTCAACAGTCTGTTCAGGCTATACGGAGCATCTTTGTCTTTTGTGTACTGCTTATTGTGCCAGTAGGGAGCACTGGTGGTGCATCTGCCAGTCATCTCAGTCAATCCGTGGCAACTGGATATGCCCATGACCTACTGTCAGGGAACCTTCGACACTTCACGTGGCCTCAAAGTGCACCTAGCCTGGCACAAGCGCCGTGATGTCACGGTGCCTGTTGTCGTTATATATTGTGCAAGTTCCAGGAGGTGTGTACCAGTGGTACGTGTGGGTATGTGTGTACTGTACTGGAGTGTTTATTTTCTGCTTTGGTTCAGTTGGATTTGCTCTGGCCACGAGATGAGTGAAAAATTCACTTAAAAAATTATGATTTTCTTGGGTCTTTCGGTAAAGTCACGTATCTACGCGACTTGATATTGTTCAACCCTAATGTAAACATTTCTGCAATCGCATTTGGTCTCTGCCACTTGGCTAAAACATCAACAGGCTACTATGGGCCTTGAACCTTTCCATGTGTTGACCGGGGCACCATTGTATAAATTATACTGTTCCACCAAAGTTCTCTTGGAAGAAATTCCAGCACAGTAGAAACAAATACATTGCTTCACGCTTTATCCTGTGGATATATATGCAACATTTATTGGAGATTTGCAAACTTTGACGTGCTCCTTTGTGGCGGACGCTTCGGTACTTAAGACGGCTCACCTCACCGCCGATGATCGCACGTGTGTTCCCGCAGGTTTTTAGAAACCCCTACCATTTCGGATCTCTGAGCAACTGGAAGCAGTTTTTCGGCGTCAAACACAGAAGGTACGTCCGGGCAGAACAGTGCGTCCCATTAGCCTCCGTCCGTCCGTAAATTGTGCAGGTGTTGAACGCGGGTAGGTACTTTAGTTGGTACGAATGTCATATTTTGGAATCTCATTCTAATATTTTATATACCCCTGTCATAGGGTATGAATATGACATACTAAACTAACACTAAACTTTTTATTTTACCAGGTAAGGCCCACTGAGCTACATGGCTCTTTTTCAGACACTTGGCCACAACTGATAGCTCATTGAAGTTGCTTATCACGTGGACATTTATAGCAGCCACATACTCTTAAATGCACGTTTCTAAATGTGGAGGGAAAAACCAGAGGACCCGGAGAAAATAAATCCATGCGACCACGGGGAGAGAGACATGAAACTCAAAATATACAGCAGGCGTCAGGGTTGGGATCGAACCCACAGCCTCCTGCATACCAGGCGAGGTAGTTAATATCTCGCCACCATGGCGCCCCATATCCGAGTACAGTAGTGTGTTTGAATGTCATGATATTCGTACTCTCGTCGCAGGTGGAGGTGGCGTATATCAGCAGAGCGTGACGCGCTCCTGTACGCCGATTGTCGTCTGGGCGCTCGTGTTGTTAGTCATACTTATCTTACGCGTCACTTGTAATTGTCACTTTTCTTCGAGATGTGACACTCGCGTCTTGTGATGTGTGTGTAGAACTCCTCGCCGTGAGGAGTAATAACGGGAATCATTTGCAGGCCCTGTTGTCAATCAATTGGTGTCCTGAAGGGTCTCCCCGTGTTATGTTGGCCATACTTCACCACCCTGGTCAATTCAGGTTGGTGATGTGGTTGTTCTAGGACTCATTTAGATATCACTCTCCACTGATTGTTAGCATTCGTCAGGAATCAAACTCAGGTCACCAGATTCATAACACAGTGCTACATCCAATGTTCCACCGCTGCCCCAACTCACCCTGCGTATCATCGTCGTGAAACCAAAAGGCTCTTCTTCAAGGGAGACCTTGGTCACGGCACAATACACCGCATACGTAAACAAAACTCTCAACATCATTGTCCCTCGCATTCACAACCGAACATTCAATGGCGATCGGTAAAACGGAGACGAGCTTACTTGTGCACGCCATGTACGCCACTACGTCTCACGCCACCGCACGTCTTCACGCGCACGACTTTTGCCACCTCTCCCCCCCCACCGCCGTTCCCTGCCCCAGCCACTGGCTGACGCGCGTGCTGCTGCCCTCCGGCCACGCGCCCCAGGGCAACGGCCTCGTGTGGCTCCCGCCCGACGACTGGGTCGCGGCGCACCGCCACGGCCCCTCCGTCACGGTGTGAACAGCGCGACGGCCACCGTCGCCACCCGCGGCTCTCCTGGCGCTGCCGTGGTGGGGCAGCGAACGCCCGGCAATCGACCCGCCGTCGTTGAAGGTTTTCACGAAGAGGAGGAGGGTGGTGACGAAGACGTATTTTGAACTGTTACATTCTACTGACGGTTGCTGCAGGGAATCAAACGTGTTACGGGTTAATCTTGTATTTGTATGTTTTTATTTTTATGTAAAGCACAGCCCGTTGCGTTGATGGCGATGTCCGATTTATTTTCGTTTGTTTGTCCCATTGGGCAAAGCAAAGAGAGAGGGTTTCCTCTTGAACCCGAAAAACTTGCCATCTCAAAAACGCTCAGCGACTACCTATGATGTGAAGCGGCTTGTGCAGTCCGACAGTGCTGCAAGTCTTTATTGTAAATTATGACACCAGGTTATCTGTGCAGCGTTCTGCATATCTGACCTATATGAACAGACGTTATTTACAGATCAAGAATGAGCAATAACAGCTTTCATGTTTGTCTACAACAACATTGGTGCTTTGTGCCAGGGGGTTAATGGACCAATGGGCATGTACTGCCAACACAGTGTCTCGTCTGAATGCTGTGGGATTAAGAACAAATTATTACGGATGATCGGGATTTATTTTTTCTCTAAATATTTGGCCGGCTGCTAGATGGGTGAACCAAATCGGAGTAAAGATGAACACAAAGGCGAAAACACACATGGATGTTGAACATCTTTCGCACCGTAAAAGGCCAACCATGCTAATCGGAGGTGCGTGGGAAGGACAAAAAACTAAACACAGAAAGCAGTTCTAAAGAAATTAGTTTTCAATACACATTTCAAAGTGCATAGCTCCAGTGGCTTCCACATCATTAGGAAGAGCGTTCCAGACGGCCCCAGAAACGCATCTAAAAGTGCGACGCACTGACCTATACACCAATGCAAACATTCACGTTCGCAAAACACCACGTGTCACAAAGGTAAATATACACACAAAACATGTAAATAGTATCACACATGCGCATAGTGAAACGTTAACATGTCCTGACATGTTGCGTGTGGGTTGACAACCCTGGACACCATTGCAAAGGACAAAGATAGACACACACGTGCAAATACATATGCAATACATCCACATCACATCCACACACACGTGTACAGTGGCATACACGCAAATTCACAACACCACAAGAGAGACCCCCATGTAGTCTTAATAGACTTGGGGCAAGTGCTGTTAGCGAGCATCTATGAAGGCCGGCACGGCACACGAGGGGGTGAGTGGCTTCCTTTGTCTCCCTAGTGGCGACACTGCATCAGGTACCCACTTGAGGCTTAGTCGACCTAGGGGAGGCCCAGGACCGGTTCAGATATTCACCACTGTTATTGTTTGTGAGCCGGCATCGAACTCGGGTCGCCGACTTTGAAGTGCAGTATACGAACCACTGCGCCACCACCCCCAAACAGCAAAAAACAGATCCCCTGTATAGCCTTAACAGACTTTTGTTGCAAGTGCTGTTAGCAAGCACCACACACCGATACACAAAACACGCAAACAATGTACAGTGATATATTTCGAAATACTGCACACGTAAATACACATCACAAAATAACACAAAAAAGATGCACACCCTAACACACCACACACTGACACCACACACTGGCACCACCCCCCCCTCCTTTATCCTTAAAACTTGTTTCAAATATTTGGCTTTGAGCAGGAGGCGCTAACCATATCAGTCTTGCAAAATATCGCGATTGTCGCCTATGTTACTTTTACGATAACATATTTACGAAATCGCAATAAATTAAAGATATCGACAATTAAAGTTCTAAAAAATAGCTGTTACGCATTCACATCATGCCTTGTCAAACCTTTTCCGGAGTTTCATTGCATGCTGGCTATACGACATCGCTTCCGTAGTCCATTTGATTCATCGATCGTTTCCTGCGTAACACCGCCAGTTGAGCATTAGACCGTGGAGTGACGCCGATTGGAAGATTTGTGGCAGCTTGTGTCGAGTGAAAAATGCAGTTGAACGGATTAGTCCTCGTTCCTACTAGAAGTTCATTAACGCATAAAAACGCGAATTGCAACCACAGCGGAAGGGAAAACTGACATCTCGATTATCGTATCTTGCAAAAATGAAATAGCGGCAGCCCTAGTTAAGGCATCTGCTCTGGCTAATAGAACATTTTGAAACACCCACAAAATGTTGGCCAAATGCCCCATTTCGGTGAAATATTTGATACATCCCTTTTGAACAAAAGAGCATCGGACTTTGCATTATCTGTTCATTAAAAACATGTGAAGAAGCCACGCTTGCATTCAGGTCTCGTTTATTAACGACTGCGATGGGGGGGAGGGGGCAAGCAGGCATGCGCCAGTGACTTCACAACCATGAAGTGCAGTGCGAAGAGTTGGACCAAGACGGAATGAAAGCACGAGCGAGCAACGCATGTTTCGCGGGAGAGTCGGCAGCGTGCACCAAAAGATGCAATGACAAAACCAAACTCCCACGTGCTTTTTCGCGGGGTCCTGGTTTCCGGGGTCGCAAGCGACCGGCGGTCCGAGCGAGCGGTGGAGCTATGGAACGACATCCACATCGTCGGGAACGTCGTCGATGAGTTCTGCTGCGTCACCGGCTCTCGGGATTTAAGACGGCGCTTGGCGCCGCCGTGTCAGATGTCGGTCATTTCGCCGTCGTTCTCGTCATCCTCCTCGTCCTCATCCTCATCGGAGGTCTCATCCGGATCTCCGGCCTGAGCCAGGCACTTGGGGCACGCGCAGGTGAACAGGTAGTTGTCCCTGGAGACGGGGAACGCACAAAAAGAACATGCACATGCCTGGAGAGTAGCAACTTCCACCCTCCGACACCAACCCAAATGGGCACAAACCCACCCCCCCCCCACGTGAGCACTCCCATTTATAACTCTCAACATCACCACCAGCAGCAGCAACTGTCAATGTCGCATTCAGTTGGATGAAAACATTTTCAAGTGAGCTGCCACTTGATTGAGCTAACATTTTTGTGACCAGGTCGCTTTTGAAAAAAGAACTGTGTTGCTCAGTGGGGTCTTACCTGTTTAAATTAAAACAATGGTTTAGTTTTAAATAGTTTTCATTTAGGACAATGACCGTGAGCTTGGCCTCGCTCCCTGTCAATGAAACCGATGGGTCGAGGGCGTCCGCGGTTCTCACCGCAGGATCTTCTGTCGGCTGTGCCGGCTGCGCTCACGCTGGCAGCCCTCCAGGTAGCTGATGCAGATCTCCTGCCGGGCCACACGGCGTCACAGTCTCAACCCGCGGCCCACAAGTTCACACGGGGTCACAGTCTCAACCCTCACGCGTCGCTCACAAGTTCACACGGGGTCACAGTCTCAACCCGCGGCCCACAAGTTCACACGGGGTCACAGTCTCAACCCTCACGCGTCGCTCACAAGTTCACACGGGGTCACAGTCTCAACCCTCACGCGTCGCTCACAAGTTCACACGGGGTCACAGTCTCAACCCTCACGCGTCGCTCACAAGTTCACACGGGGTCACAGTCTCAACCCACGGCCCACAAGTTCACGCGGGGTCACAGTCTCAACCCTCACGCGTCGCTCACAAGTTCACGCGGGGTCACAGTCTCAACCCACGGCCCACAAGTTCACACGGGGTCACAGTCTCAACCCTCACGCGTCGCTCACAAGTTCACACGGGGTCACAGTCTCAACCCTCACGCGTCGCTCACAAGTTCACACGGGGTCACAGTCTCAACCCACGGCCCACAAGTTCACGCGGGGTCACAGTCTCAACCCTCACGCGTCGCTCACAAGTTCACGCGGGGTCACAGTCTCAACCCTCACGCGTCGCTCACAAGTTCACACGGGGTCACAGTCTCAACCCTCACGCGTCGCTCACAAGTTCACACGGGGTCACAGTCTCAACCCACGGCCCACAAGTTCACGCGGGGTCACAGTCTCAACCCTCACGCGTCGCTCACAAGTTCACGCGGGGTCACAGTCTCAACCCACGGCCCACAAGTTCACACGGGGTCACAGTCTCAACCCTCACGCGTCGCTCACAAGTTCACACGGGGTCACAGTCTCAACCCACGGCCCACAAGTTCACGCGGGGTCACAGTCTCAACCCTCACGCGTCGCTCACAAGTTCACGCGGGGTCACAGTCTCAACCCACGGCCCACAAGTTCACACGGGGTCACAGTCTCAACCCTCACGCGTCGCTCACAAGTTCACACGGGGTCACAGTCTCAACCCACGGCCCACAAGTTCACGCGGGGTCACAGTCTCAACCCTCACGCGTCGCTCACAAGTTCACGCGGGGTCACAGTCTCAACCCTCACGCGTCGCTCACAAGTTCACACGGGGTCACAGTCTCAACCCTCACGCGTCGCTCACAAGTTCACACGGGGTCACAGTCTCAACCCACGGCCCACAAGTTCACGCGGGGTCACAGTCTCAACCCTCACGCGTCGCTCACAAGTTCACACGGGGTCACAGTCTCAACCCACGGCCCACAAGTTCACGCGGGGTCACAGTCTCAACCCTCACGCGTCGCTCACAAGTTCACACGGGGTCACAGTCTCAACCCTCACGCGTCGCTCGGTGGGCGGGCCACAAGTTCACCCCCGAGCCTCAAGCACTACCCCTGCGCCTTAATCGCACATGAAGATGGAGTGACGGGCATCATTCCGAGCACTCTTCACAGGCAGCGAGAGCTCGCAGCCTAGGACCAAATCGCATGGAACACACCGCATCTCTTCGGACGTCAACAGCTCAGCAGGGTTGAGGCTGGACAGTGCTTGGATGGGCGATCACCATACGTACAACAGGTGTTGCAGAAGGGCTTTGTTGTGAGCAGCAGTGCCATGCTACATATTGTTGTATTGTACTGTGCTCCCATGTCTATGCTTCCCTCCGGCCCGCACCAACCAACGTGGCGAAACGTCCAAGGCGGATCCTCCCCGTTCCCTGCCCCCTCCCCCCCCCGCCCTACTCACCTCCCCAGACTCGATGTCGCTCAGCGCCGTGAGGTGGAGTGTGAAGTCGTTATCGGGGAAAGTGGCTTCTGCGTTGGGCACACAGCTGTGGTTACCTGGCACGGGGGAGGGGGGTTTGGGGAAGGGGGGTTTGGGGGAGAGGGGGTAGGGGGATTAAACTGGGTTGGGGGGGGGGGTACCAGCTCGTCGCATCCGTCGGTATGGAATCTAACGAGCTGCCCCGCAGCAAGAAGGACCTGGGTTTGATTTCTGACGCGGGTACCTCCCTGTGTGGAGTCTGCATGTTGTCTCCCCCCTGTGGTGCTTGGGGTTTCCTGGGTTCCATCTCCCACAGCTCACAAAAACATAAAATGTAACTGGTGTTGGCCAAACATGCCAATGCAGAACCCTCAATGTGCTTCTCTGGGTGTATTTGTCATTATTATTTTAGTGTCACGATGCGTCGAGTTCGCCAATGGCTGCAGTTGCTCACGAGGCATGATTTGAGTTTTTTGTTTCAAATGTTTTACTTACATCCCTAAGTCAATGTACTAAAGGATAAACGCCTCCACACATGTATCGGTCACTTCACCATGTTAGTCAAGGCGGGTTGGTGAAGGGGGGAGGGGAGGACCTGTTCAGATATTATTCACCACTGATGTTCGCTGCGGTCGGGATTCAAACTAGGATCGGCGAGTTCATAGCGCGGCGCGCTAACCGTTGCGCCACCGCTCCACTCTCCCCATCGGCGAGTGTCGATTCCCGGCCACGGCTAACATCGGTGGCGAGTAAAATCTGACCTGTTCCTGCGACGTCGACTCTCGTGCTCGCGATGTGCTGCGTGTTATGTTTCACGCCGCTTCCAAGCAAATTATTACAATTGGGCGAACACGGTTAACAAAACCGTACACACTAGAGGGTTAAAACAGCAATACTGACGAGACGGCAAAACTGAGAAACTAAAAAAAAGAATCGGCCGTCGAGTTGGAAGCACCGCAATGATCGGCGACAACGCGACGCGGATCGGTGTCTGCCGGGGAAACCGCTCGGAAGGGTCCGCTACTCACAGCAGCTTTGCCGGACGTAGAGGCCCGATCCTTCGCAGTTCAGGAAGTCCCCGGACACTGCAGTGACACAAGAAAAACAGCTTCCTCAAATTCACGCTCGTCAACATTCCCACGGGATTTTCACTCTCGTGTTGTCGCGGGCTCTGCCTTCCTGGGGGCCGTCAATCTCCACTCAAGCTTGTCCCTGGGTCATCATCTCCACGTCCACTCCACATTCCTGGATATCCCGGGGCCACCAATGTTACCTCGCCGTGCCCACGAATCAAACTCGGGTCGCTGGGTTCGGAGTACAGTAGGCTAACCGCTGCACCACTGTTCCTCCATGATGATAAAAGAATAAAAATAAATCGCTAAAACTGCAACGAGAGAATTTACTCCGTGCAGGGGGCACACTTGGGCTAACGCCGCAACCACCCCTGACCCTACGTGGGAATCCAACCCGGACGGGCTGCATCTGGCTCTGCTGGGCTTGGCTTTATTTTTGCCCAATTATTAATTGCTTATTCATAAGGTTTTTTTTTAGCAATAAAAATAATTTTACTTGTTCGGATAGCTACCGACTTAGTACTGCGTGGAAGCGAATAATCAAATAATACATTGCTTAAATGCATGCCTATACAGGCCACCATACCGTTGGTACGGCTATTTTAATACACACAATGGACAGGAAGGACAAGATCAAAGGGCTCGCATGATGCACATGCATAATGTACTTTGACTCATTAATCCCCTCCCTCTTTGCGCAAGAGTGCAGAAGCGTGGTCACCACATCTACGCCTCTATATAAGGAACGAAACAGGTGGACTTCTCCACAATTATGGCTGTCGCCTGATGAAGCTGGTTGTAATTACTGGCGAAACGTCGTACTCAGATTGTAAATGTTGTGGCTTGGCTCTCCAACACACCGGTGTGCTGTACTAGTGACGAATTGGCCACGTTCTGTTTACGGGACAACCCTTACTAGTTGGCTGTGTCGGGTGGTGGTGGGTTTAACGACACATTTATATATTTACGCGATCTAACCCAAAAAAAAACCTCTCATGGATATTGGCCTACTGACTAATTGCTTATTGCTCACCATTGTCGATGTCCCGGTAGAGCTGCTCGATAAAGAAGTCGAGATGCTCACGCTGCGCCGCGGGGAGCTCCAGGTCGTCGCACGCATGAACCCACTGGCTCAGCGAGCTGTGGCAAGTAAAGACAAAGATGCCCCATGTAGCCTTAACACACTGTTGGAGGCAAGTGCTGT